TGGCTAGTAGGTTGTGTTTTGATACAATCCCTTCTGGGAAGGCCCCTCCCTGGTGTCAAATGCAACCCACATGCCACACAACACAGAGGCCAAGGACTAGGGCTTAGCCAGGGAAGAGGAAGCCAGCAATGCTATCCATCTGTGAAGTTGCACAACAAACAAGGGACGTTAGGACGCAGCAGTCCAGCACCCGCTAGAGAGGCACCAGAACAGATGCAGCAGCAGGGCTAGCTCCAACTACAGCCCACTCCCTGGGCTGGGACCCTCTGCAGGGATGGGGCCAGTCCCCATGGGCCATTCAAACTCTGCTGAGGCAGGCAACAAGAGACGGTGTTAAATAGGAAAGTGGTGGGGGAGGTTGTATGAAGCACCTGCTGCCTGGGAATGGAACCGATTTGCCCAGTCACAGGGCAGAAGCCCCCCACCCCCCACATAGACTTTGGGGGCACCATGGGGAGTTTTCAGTCTGACCTCTCGCAAAACACAACTTGCAGAGTCCCACCCAGGTGTGGGGCCTAGTGGGTCCAGGTCTCAGGAGCCCTGGATGCTATCAGCTCTGAGACGGGCCTGCTGGGTGACCTCGGACAAGTCATGTCCCTGCCCCGTGCCTCAGTTTCCCCCTCTGTAAAATGAGGATAATGCTGCAGCCCTTCCTTTGTAAAGCACTTTGAGGTCAGCTGATGGGAAGTGCTGTAGACCAGCAAGGGGATATTACTACTCCTCAGTGAAAGCCGCCCCTTCATCCTCATGCACACGGCTAGCTCGCTCCTTAGCAAAGAGACTCTCTCATAAAAGGGAAGCGACAAGAGACCCAACCACGTATCTGTGCTCCTAGGGCACCAGGGACAGTCTCAGGTTACCAGCCACAAGTTACAACAGTAGCTTCCCCATGCACAGCCTGTCCTCCAAACGTTGTCCCCTTCACAAATGACTGGGGGGGGGGGGGAAGGCTTGCATCCTTCACTCCCAGAGACATTGTTTGCCTGCTCCCAGTCACAGCCTCTGATCCACACCCACCGCTTGAGCCTCCAAAGTGTGAGTCAGTCTCCATGGTAACTCGGGCTAAAGGCTTCTCCTGGCAGAAGCCAGATTGAATGGGAAGGGAGCGGGGAGCTCAGTGGGTTCTGCAGACACAGGAGAGACCATGAGACTTGCAAAAAAAAAATGTACCATTTGCACCGAGGAAGCCCCTCCACTGTCACCAGCAAAGGTCTAGGGCAGGGCCCTGGCAAAAGACACACACACACACTTTCAGGGATGAGGGCCACAGAGGCTCCCCAACAGCAGCTGCGAAACTTACCAGTCTTGTTAATTTCGTTACAGCTGCTGTGGGCAGAGGCACCCTCCCTCCCCCGCCCAGAAACCAGCCCTGCACCCAGCACCAGGTCTCCTTGGGCTACAACATTTTTAAATCAAAATCGTCAACTCTGCAAAAGTTGATGGCTCAGGGTCATTCCACCTCCCACCCCCCAAATACTCCTCAAGAAGAATTTCCCACTTACTTACCCACTTGGGAGTGGAATTTCCCCAAATGTATTCACAAAAGTAATAAATAAGAAAAGCAAGTTGGGGGGATTCCTTCAGCAGAGAACTAGGGGGGAGGCGGAGGGAGAGAGGGAGGAGATGCACCATTTCCAAGGGGTGCATCAGTCAAGCGTCACCTTTTCCATTCAGAGCAGGTGAATCGGGTTTCTTAGCACTGGAATGGGTTACCTAGGGAGGTGGTGGAATCTCCTTCCTTAGAGGTTTTTAAGGTCAGGCTCCACGAAGCCCTGGCTGGGATGATTTAGTTGGGGATTGGTCCTGCTTTGAGCAGGGGGTTGGACTAGATGATCTCCTGAGGTCCTTTCCAACCCTGATATTCTATGATTCTATGACCTTCCTCTGAAGCATCTGGTGCTAGCCACCATCAGGACACTAAACTAAATGGATCCCTACCCAGATCTGGGATGGCAATACTTTTGTTAACCCCTTCGCCTTACACTTTGAGGGTGCGAACTTCTATAGAAGATTCCATAATGCCAGGATGGACAGATGCGTGAGAACACCTCACGCCGCAGCTTTCCAAGGAGAGAAACATAACACGCTTGTGAACCCAGACGCAGCGTCGCCAACTTGCAGAGTTTTCTCAAGACTGTCATGATCTCGGAGGCTTTTCTTAAAGCTCCAATTTCTGGAATCAAGAAACTGCATGAGAATAATTTTTATTTTAATGGGGGGGGGGAGGAGAAGGGTTCTAGACCCCAGCTGCAGATAAAAGCTTGGAAATTTGAAGCAAATGCACCCTAAAGGCTCAGAAACCGGCAGACAAATAAAGTGGCCCCAAAAGTTATTTTTAAAAGAGTCTTTTTTTTTGGTTAACCCTCAGAGTTAACAATGCTGCAGATGCATTGTTTGCAAGTGGCATTCCAGGCAGGAGAGTATGGGACAAGGCTTCCTTTGGGAAGAGATGAGAACATTGAGCCTATGTGAGTGTAGGAGGCGGGGGCAGAAAAGCCTGGATTATTACACATTCTTCCACAAGAAGTTCTGGCCAGGCTGTAAACACGGAACATGCTTGATCCCGCTCAACTCATTCGTTGAAATGGGCTCCCTTCTCCTCCTCCCCCACTCAAAGCACAACTAAGAACCCAAACAGAACACAGCAGGCCCTATGTAAACGCTGGACAGAATTGAGCAATGGATTAACAGATCACGCAGCACTTTGCAGATATGAAGCAATTATTACTAGCAGATATAGGTTCCATAGCCTCTTTCAAACAGGGATCAAAGTAATTTTAGGAATTAACCCTCACCATCCCTCTCCCCTCCCCAAGGTATTAGCCCCATATTACAGACAGGGAAACTGAGGCAAAAAGAGGTTAAAGGACTTGCCTTCCCCAAATCATGTGGCAAGTCAAGTGGCAGAGTCAGGAAAAGAACCCAGGAGTCCTGGCTAGCAGCCCTACCATGCTAGCCACTAGAGGCACACACCCTCCCAAAGCTAGGGAGGAAAGCCAGGAGGAGTCCACGCTGCCAGTCCCCTGCCCTAGCCACAACTCTTCCTAGAGCTTACAGTAGACTCCAGGAGTCATAGCTATCCCCTCCCCTGTGCTCACCACTAGGCATGTCACCTCCCAGAGCTGGGCAATAGAACCCAGGAGTCCTGTTCTAACCACTCCCGCACTGCTCAGGCACGCATTATAAAAGAGTCCCCATTTCATATAGGCAGGAGCAAGCCAAGATCTGTACCACAGACAGATAAAAGCAACCAACATCTGGGAGTCTCCATATTCCCCTCGCCCAGGGCAAGCACTCCCAGCCACATCTGCTTTTGCCCAGGCAGGGGTGGGCACTGAGAACTCCTCCCCCCAACCAAAAAGCAACACAGGAGATTTTTTTACTCAAGTGACCCGGCTCAAAGTAGATCTGCCGCCTGTAGAAAAATTTGAGATTAACCAGATTAGAGGCAGATCAACTACTTTCAGGGGCCAAGGGCAGTTTTTCAAATGCTTCCTACCCACCCCCATGGTGTTTGAACAATTTTTATAGTGGGGGCCCTGAAAACAATTGATAGAAACTTCAAGCCAGGGGGTGCTACCGCACCCCTAGTTCCAACACCTCTGCCCCCCCCCCAAGGGAAGCCATGATCCCAAAACAGCAGAGAAACTTCTGGAGCTTAACAACAAAGAGAAAACTACCCAGTAGAGTTACACATGCAAACTCTCAGCCCAAAGGACCATACAGAGAAGAAACTGACACACACACAGGCCGGGGTCAGGAAGAACTCTGCCCGGAGTTAGATTCAAAGTCAACTCTCCACAGAAGCCCCATTACAAACCCATCACAAGGAAGGGGTAAACCAAAAGTGTACCCCCCCCATGCAAAAATGCATAACAACCCCCTCCACACCCCAAATAAAGTGCTTGCAGCAATGTATCGGTGTGAACACTTAAGATCCAGACTAGGTATGTTGCTTTAAAATCATGGGGAGTTTCCATTTTTGTGATCTGGGGGGCACTGACAAAAGGAGTTCATACAGGAGACATGGGGGGGTGGTAAAGTGCACCCCAGCAGCTTGCAACTCCACCATCCCAGAGGATCTAAGGGGGGGGTTGGGTTGGGGGGATAAGTTACATGACATCACATATACACCCCAACCCACATGCCCCATTACAAGGCTAGGGAAATCCATACCCAGGAAGTGTGTCCATCCACTGGGGGAGGAGGGGGGGAACACCCACCCCCACACTGAGTGCTGGATGGAAATAAAGGCTCCCTCCTCCTCCTGCCCCCCCCCCCACCAGGGCTGGGAGAAAGTCAGAGCTAAGCGGGGCCAGGGGAGGGAGAAGCGGCCCCCGTGGAAAGGGGGAGAGGGGAGGTAAGAAGAGGGGTTTGGGGGATGATCACAAGGAAAAGGAAATGGGGCTTAGATGGAGGAGAAAAAACCAGGAGAGAGGGAACAGGCACCCAGGAACAGGGGACGGGACGGAACTGGAGGGAGAGGGAAATAATGGGGAGCCCAAACCGAGGATCCGGGAGAAACCGATCCCAGGGGATCCGGGGGACTGGGCAGCAGGGAGGAAGCCCAGGGGGAATAAAACTGGGGGGCCGCCCAGCCCTAAGGAAGTAGGGGAGAGGGAGGGAATTGGGGCGAGGGGAGCCCAGCCATAGGAGGAGGAGAAGGGGGAAGCCAGCCTGGGGGAAAGGAATGGAGTTGGGGGGCTGCCCCTGGGGGGGGCAATGAAAGAAGGGAGCTGGGGGGCAGTCGCAGGGAAAGGGAGTTGGGGGGCTGGCCCTCCGGGGGAAGGGGAGGGGAGTTGGGGGGCTGGCCAGGGGGAGTTGGGGGGCTACCGCCGGGGGGAGGAAGCAAGGGAAGCTGGGGGGCTGCCCCCGGGGGGGAAGAGGAGTTGGGGGGCTGGCCAGGGG